AAAATGACCTCAGCTAAGCTGTTGTGATAAATGCACCTAATAGAGAAGTTTGCTCAATGTTGTCTGCTTAAACTAATTATTCTGCTTAAGGGGAAGACAGTTCATCCAAAAGAAGAGGTCATTTGAAATTCCTTTATCCCTCTGCACCTTCAATTGGTCTTGATTATATAGTTTGTCTTTATTTCAGCGTTAAAATAAACTGTTTGCCATTATAAGCCTGATATTTCTAAGATTATTTCGTGAATGCAAAATTGATGGCAGAAAAAATGTATGAAACTGCTTAATGTAGATAAGAGTTAACTGATGAGGAAAAATGTAGATTGCAGTATTTAAGGTTGAAAATATGGATCTTTCATTGCTTTTGCATTTAAAATTGTTTTTCTATTTATCAAAGCACAGCCAGTAAGAATATTAAATTATGTATTTATTCAAGTTGAGAGGTTGACTATAAATACCTTGAAGAATGATTATGGGTTACAGCCACTGAAAGTTTTGCACATACAAATAAATAGTTATATACTTTATTTCTTAACTAGTGTACTCTCAAGTACATCCTTAAATAAAGAGTTAGATACTAATAATCATCTTTGCAGTATGTAAAGAACATTAGGTGCCTCAGACTAAAATTCGTAAGACTGCATAGTGAGCAGATAGTTGCTTAGTGCTGGCCAGGAGGAACCAGTTTCCCAGGAAGTACCTGAACTTTTCCTCGTCTGAGAAGTTCAGGTGCCAGTCCAGAGGATGTAAGAAGAATATTAAATTTTTTTAGGATTTGAAACCCTGAATGGCACCAAGATGAAAACTGATAAAAAGTAAGATGACTCTTCACCCAACTGATTTGACCAATTGCTTGAAAAGCAGCAAGTATTCCCCTTAAGCTGTAACCAAGACTGCTTCTTACATCTACACAATTCCTTGCAGGGGTGCTTAAAAGCTAGGATGTTTTTAATTCTTACTTATCAGTCAGCTGCCTTTACGGTTAAGCAAGGAAAAGAACCCTAGCCTAACACAAGCCTGGTTTTCTTTGTGATGAAGAAGCACAAGAGGTTGCTTCTCATGTATGTTATTCTATTATCAGATTCCTGTGGAACTTGCCTGAGGTATAAGTTTAATTTTTTCAGCTTTCACCAAATTTGAACTTGTTACATTTACCATGCAAAGAAGTGTTAGGGTTCTTTGACTTTTTTTTTCTTTAATTGACGAGAATGACAGAAAGTGATGGCTACATTGTAGATTCCCATACCTAGTCATTTGGATTCCACCCTTAGTGTCTGGATTGCATTGGGTTCACTTGGACATGTGTGTGGTTAGGGAAGGGCAATTCTCCAGAAGCAGATCTTGAAACACACTGTTTTCAGGTGTGCTTGCTTCTTGGGTTTTTTCTGGTATTTTTTTCTCAGAGGCAGTACTGATTTGTTTACATGAGTAAAGTGTGCCTAAGTACGGTTTTATTATACTCTGCATTTGGTCCAGTGTCTTCTCTTGCATTGTAAATGTGTGATACAGTATGTCTGATTCTCACTTACTAAGAAAATACTTTGCTACTTTTTGTCAAAATATATTACCACTAAAATGTGGTAGAATTAGGAAGCATCGAATTTAGCAAAACCTTTTCACAAACTGTGTTGACAAAATTCAAACAAACAATCTCCCTTGCCCTTTTTTTTTGTAATCTGCCTTCTTATTTCTTGCATTTTAGAGGAAGTATATGTTTACAGTGAAGTTGAATATTGCTCCTAGATTATTAGAAGCCACAGGTGTTTGTAGTGATACTTGAGGCTTTTCACTGTTGCATTGCATATTTGAATTTTCTAAATTAGCACTGATGCAAAGGAACTTAAGTCTGAGTGTACCCTGTTTGCTTATACATAGTTCATATCCTCTATTCATTTCATCCTAGCATAATTATCTGTAGGTCTGCTGCTATAGCTGGCATTTCTGTGTATTTGCAACAAGCAGGTTCAGCTGAATGCCAGAGGCCTAAATGCAGGCCATTAGCCTGTCAGGCTCTCTGCTGTTACGTGCTAAAAAAACATTTTGGGGTAGTTCATGTAGATGTGTTGTACCCAGATTTTTTGCTTCAAGTGTAAGACTTTGCTTTGTACACCTTGGTTTCAGTAAATAAAATGTCGTTATCGAATTGACAGTTAAATAAGGAAAAAATAAGGGCAGCATTTGAGAACATTGGAAGGAGTTTGACTGTATTTTCCCTTCTTGTAGGGCAAGAAGAATGGACCAACTCAAGACACAAGGCACCTTCTGCAAGGACAACAAAAGGAGTCTACAGAGACCAGCCATATGCCAGATACTGATTGTACTGTCTGATGTTGTGAAATATCCAATCTCCACCAGTCCTGTATACTGTTCAAAGTAATTTTTTCTATGAACAATCCCTTTTTATTAAATCGGAGCGCTTAAAAGTATGAATGGATGGACTGAACTTAAAATTTTATTGAAAGAACAACCTGGACATAAAGATATGTAAAACAAGGAACTTTGTTATTTCCAAACTGTATTTGAAAAAATAGGTGATCACAGAAAATAACCTTTGATTAACTAGTGTTAAACAAAAAATAGGTTTACTAAATATGTTAGTCCATTCTTTTAACATAAGCGTAACCTTTTATTTTAAAGGTTTTCAACAGTTTAGTTTGTAGTTTTTATTTTCAGCCATTTGCTAGTTTTTCTCTTTGCAAACATGCGTAAAAAGGGAAGCAAATTACAAATGCAAATAATGTGGTATTTTGTAACTCAAGTCTTGAAATGTTCTGTAGTGTTAAGCAAAGTTTTACCCTTGCTTGATACTAAATAAACTTTTGAAAGAAAATCAGTGTGTGTGAGATTAATTTTATGCTTTATCTTATAATAAAACTTCATAAATAGTAGTAAACAGGGAGAAATACGTTTAACAGTGATCAGCATAAAAGGCTCATATTAAACATTGCACAACTTCTTTTAAAAAAAATGGTATAAACCTAAATGTATATATATACTCACAGTAGATATAAATGCTGTTTAAAGTATCCAAATGGTATGGATCTGCTTGAGTGCCACATTAAATCAAAATATCTTTGTTAAAAATGGTTTAAAATAGCTAATGAATTTTCTGAAAAAAGATGTGACTAGTTTTCATCTTGTTGAGCATTTTTTCACTAGTGCAACTTTGGAATTTTAATGAGAATTTTGGTACGTTAATGACCACCTCGCTCCGTGCTGGAAGCAATAAACACAAAGCTTTTAAAGACTTTCTGACTTGACTAATTGAGGTCGCTTTCGTCAGAGGCAGAGGATGTGTAACCCTTAAAACGGTCTTCATTTGCAAAGGTAAATAAATCAAATAAGATTTTAATCTCACTTAATTTATCTTAATATAACCAATAAAAACAGGGACGCTACACCTTAGAAGGTTTCATTTTAGAATGTAGGAAAGACTAAGGACACCTAAATTCTCATTTTAAAACATTGAATTTGTGTTAGTAATCTAAAAAGCTTTAGCTTAGCTAGTTAAATTTTGGACAAATTATTCCCTATTAAACAACTGTAAAACCTCATAACCAGTAGTTCGTAATATATTATTTTTTTCCATAAATTCTAGTAACTTAAACATTACAAATGTTATCTAAAGCTTTTTGTTAATAATTAAGTTTTTATTAATTATAGTTTGACTTATATTGTTTTCTTTAGTTTGTTCTTTGAAAGCCTTTGAAATTCAGTAAAAATAGCTTTTTTTCTCTTTTCAGGAAACCCACCTCCTTGGACAGCCAAGAGAACAAAAACCTTGCTCTTCTGATGCTTTGGTAGGTATCTTTTATTCATCTGTAAAATTAAAAAAATAATGGAGCTTTTGATCAGGTCCTTAATTCTTTATACACAAGGCTTTAATTTATGTAGTGATTACAGGTACTGAGCTGGAGGCCGGTGAAAATCATTGGCTATGTGCATTTCTGGTGGGAAAAGTCATAGTTTTAAACTATCATTAAACAGGACATTACTGTTGCAGTGTGTTGTCACTGTCCTCTGGGTGTTTATTGAAAGGTGTACCTAGCTTTGCCAACATTTCAACCAATTAAGTATTTCTTTGGACAGAGGAAGATGGGAAAAAAATAATGTAATGCTAGCAGTGTTCAGATGGGAACTTAAAACTCTAACCTGGTCAGCAAACATGTCTAAAATGGTTTTACAAAGCTGCAGAAAGCATTTTGTAAAATGATTTTCTAAGTCAAGCATTTGCACAAGGAGCAGGTTGATTTTTGCCTCGAATGAAAGAGAACAAGTCCATTGAGAAATACTAGCTGAAGAATAGCTAGCTCAACGATTTATGGTGAATTCACCATATAAAGTAAGAAATAATTTAACTGTATTTATGTTTGGACTGTGTATATTTTAAATAGAGCAGATTTTTTTCTTTATTTCGTACTTGAAATAGTAGTTCTTCCTGCTTACCTCATGATCTCAGTTCCTTTAGTTGACATTACTTAAATAAATAGAGCCCTATACCTCGAAATATTGTATATGTTGCACTGCCTCTGTATAACATGCTAAATTTAAGAGACTGCTGTCACAGGCTAAAGGAACTTTTTGTACGTTAAAAAATGGCTTTAGAACAATTTTGAGAGTATTTTAAAGATTTAAAGCGAAGGACTCGTTTAAGGTTAGGAGAGCTTGGAGAAGATTTTTCTCCTCTGGGGCTCAAAGGGCAAAGATTCGATATCAACTGCTAGAACTGCTGTGGCAAAACTGAGTATATAAATATCTTCCAAAAATATTTATCATGGAATTGGCCAAATCTCTCTTTTTGTTCATGTCTTAAATGGCATAATATATAATCATAGAATGGTTTGGGTTGGAAAGGACCTTCGAGATCATGGAGTTCCAATCCCCCTGCCATGGACAGGGACACCTTCCACTAGACAAGGTTGCTCAAAGCCTCATCCAGCCTGGCCTTGAACACCTCCAGGGATGGGGCATCCACAACTTCCCTGGGCAACCTGTTCCAGTGTCTCACCACCTTCACAGTGAAAAATTTCTTCCTAATGTCTAGTCTAAATCTACCCTCTTTCAGCTTATACCCGTTTCCCCTTGTCCTCTCACTACACTCCCTGATAAAGAGTGCCTCCTTACATGAGTCATAACAAGTTCTCATTTGCAAATATAAAGTTTTATATTAATCGTGATGAAAATTGATGGGTTGAAACTAAAATATCTAATAGCAAGGATGACTAGTAGACAAAGAAGTGAAGCAGGAATTAATTCAGTCTTCTGTAATATTTGTCCAAATCTTTGGGGCTTTTTTTATGCCATCTTTCCTTAGTGCCTCCTATTGGGAGGATGAATGTATTGGTTTGCCTTTGTGCCACTTCTCTGCTACTCTGCCCTGAAGTCCTGTAAGACCCCTAAATTGTTCCAGGTTCCCTGGGGGGGGGAAGTGTCTCCCTGTCAAATCATGCAGAAGTTGTTTGGGTGCACTATTCTGTGACAGGATGTCATATGACTGTGTGTTGAAGGTAACATGAGTAAATTAAAACAAAATTCCCCCCCAAGAGGACACCCAACCTATGGTCAGAAGTGATTGCTTCGGTCGTGTGCCATATGTGCACCTGACAAGATCATAGAATAGTAGAATGGTTTGTGTTGGACGGGACCTTAGAGATCATCTAGTTCCACCCCCCTTCATGGGCAGGGACACCCTCCCACTAGACCAAGTGGTCTGTGGCCATATGGTGTTCCCATTAAGTAGCTGTGGCCCACCTTGACAGACAAGTTAACCATTTGATTCCAATTCTGTTATTTTAATGAGTTGCTAGATCTAGATTTGAGACATGTAAGAAAAAAAAGTTTCATATATTAAGCATAATAGTGGTATGAATTTTTAAATCCATTATGGCTTCCTTCTTCCAGTGTTCCACATCTTATTTCTCCTAAGAAACTGTTTTCATGCCTGTTAAAAAAAAAAAAAAAAGTTGTATCAATTCTGATGACCAAAACGTGTGCATGCAATAAATTACATCAGTTCAAACAGCTGGTATTAGATATTCTTAGAAACTACATCTTTGCAGTACAAAACTTCTCTTGAAAGTTCTTGAAATAACATTAGTTAGCATTGTGTTCTGCTATTGCATTTCTGGTTCTTGTTATTTGGAGTAAGCTATGGAGAGGGAAAAATAATCTAGAAAGGTCTCTTTTTTAAAAAAACGTATCAGTGCAGAAGGCAGCTTTTCTTTTACTGTGACGAGCCAGCTTAGGAGTGTTCATATATACTAGCAGGATTTTGTGTTCTGCCACTGTTCAATTTCTGTGTGTTACTGGTCAAACAAGTGATGTTAATGAGTGTAATTAATCATATCATTAATTTGCTTTTATTGAGTCTTTTTTATCACATTTGCTCTGAATTTCAATCATAGCAGTTTCTGCAATGGTTTCCATAAATCTACATATATTATATGCATAATTGCTTGATTCCACTGCTTATTATCTGACAGTCTTCAGATAATTTGTATTTGCTAGTCTTGGGATGTATAGAAATAAATTCTGTTTCTCTTTTTCAGGAACTTCTGCCATGTTAATTATGGACTGCTTAGAGCATTGTACTCATCCATGTGCCTAGACAACGTGACAGGCTACGGAGTATGAAAATCCTGTTCTGTGTTTCCTGTATTAAGGCCTTAAAGTGTATGAAACGATACACTTTTAAAAATAGTTGTATATTTAAACTCTTGTTTAAATACTCTCATGCAACAATGTTTTATTTGGAGCTCAATAAAAAGTTTTACTCTACATTCCTGTTACAGAGCAATAATGCAACCTCATGTTCATTTAGTGACTCTTTTTAGCCTTATGCAGCAAGTGTCAGAGTGTGTGAAGTCTCATGATTTTGGAAACAGCTTGTCTAATACATGAACAACATGGAAAAGTTAAAATGAAGATTGGTGGTTTATGCGGAAGTTTTTCTTAATAGCTTATTGTAAACAGATCTACTCGAAACAAGACTCTTGGGTAGAAATGATACTTCAACTTCCATTTCCTTCAGAAACTTGTATAACATGAAGGTGTTTTAATCCCTGTCAGTTATACCATGCTGCTTTCTTTCACTTGGTGTTTGATGCATAGAAATGTTTTCTCTAATATACAGTCACAGGTTTTCTAGTAGTAGGGTCTTGGATGAGGCTTTTACACTTGATAAATCTTGTATCCAATCATGTTTCCTTAGTGCTTTCTCTGTTTTATATTAATTGTGATTGTGATAATTTGTAACAGAAATAAAATTCTCATAATTTAATTTCTTGTGTTCTCTTTCCTAAATACTGCTTGGAAAGTATGAGTGTCCCAATGCTCAGTTAAGTTTCCATCAGATGCATTTTTCTTCACTGAATCTCAAATTCATCCCAAGAAGAGCATAATTTGAATATCATTAATTTATTTTTAAAATAAGCAATATCACTTAATAGCATCACAACAAATGCCTCTTCAACATGTGTTCATAACTTCTAATACCATATACTGACTATTGTAGAATGGCTTTCAAATTTATGGGGATGTGGAAAAAATTAAGATTTCCCATTAACCCTGGCACTGATCAAAGTGTCTTGAATAAGATACCACTTTTAATAGATGACAAAAATCTTTGGTAGTGTAAAAAAATATAAAATCTATTTTTAACCTTAGAATACTTAAGGTGAAAGATTTTCCTTGCCATTGTCTCTGACTGTACTACAACTGCATTTCTGTAATGTTTTCTGCAGCGAGAAATAGTGATTATTTAAATAAGTAAAAGCAAAATCCAAAAACCTTTAAATAAACACAAGAGATGTATAATAATGATTCCCTTCA